CGGGAATAGCAAAACGAGACGAACAATTGCCAAAATCAGCACCAGCATGCGCGGCGCAAAGCATGCAATGACTGCAAATTTCCTTGAGAGCCGTACTTGTAGGTATGCTACGAGGTGTATGGAGAGCATAATGATTGCGACTTCGCTGGAAATATCGACGATACAATAGACGATCCAAAAGATGCGCTATTCAGGTCAGCTTTCAGACCGTGTTTGATTGGGTCCCATGTTGCATACCGAGTTGAAGCATCTTGGGCCAACAAACTGCCAAGGTCGAGGTAGCTGGCACTGAAACGCAATTGCGACAAGCGACGCCACTGTCCAGACTGACACTACCGCACTGAAAGCTACCACGGCTCGGCGGATGATGCGTTGCGTTACGACGACATTGTAAAATATTACCAAGATTGATAACTTCGCGAAGCCAATGGCTACGATGTAGACAATCTCAGACGAATAGTACCCTTTCATGAGGAAGATGGCTTGCTCGGAGGTCAACGGACCAACAGTGCCGAGACCTTCGAACGACAGGACAAGGGCTATGATTGAAAGACTGACGGCAAAGGACTGCATGCATGAGCAAAGTTCGAGAGATAGGTTGTGCAACTTACAAAAGCGATAAATATCAAAAGATCATCGAGCGCCATTCTCCGAAAGACAACAACTTTCATTATCTGCCGTGCTCCGAAAACCATCATCGTGATGATAAGAATGGCCCATGATGCAGCCCTGATGGTATTTGCTCGGTCGATGGGGCTGGCTGATGTACTTCGGGGCAGAAAATATCCACTCGGTAACTGCATATTCGACATAAGGGAAAGATGGACAACGTCCAGGAAACTGGCCCAGAAGGAAACGATAAGGAAATAGTGAAATGGTCAGACCTTCTTACCCCATATCACCCTAAGCATGACGAAAGAGCAGGTCATGAAGCAGAAAGGCTGTAGCTGGTAAGGCGAATTATGTGTGAAGCAGAGCCTTGCGTGTGCTTCGAGTCGTCCAGGGTGCGGGCCAAAAACAGTACACGAGGCGATCAATCCTAGAATATCGCTACAGCACTTTCTCGGTACTGCTTACCTTGACGTTCAGTTCGGCAGTTCATCTCAAGCTGCTACACTTTTATCCTGGGTAAATAGGACCTCGGCGTCTCTTGTTCGCTGTTCAGAACCCCTCTGCCTCTTTTGCAGGATTAGCGTCCTGCGATGCACTGGTAAGCGCATAGGCGACTCGGCAACGCTGCGTCATGCATCTAATCTTGGGGTGTATAGGCGCTTGCGATGATTTGTAGATGCTGCTGATGGATGGCGCGGCTGACATGCGCTACGTTCCTTCCGGCGGGTATGCGCGTTGGGGCGCGGGGCCATCCTCCCGCGCCCTCAACGTAGACGCGCATGAACGCTGGTGAACGGTACGAAGTGACCAAATCGCGAAACATGTTCCTTGAATGATCATCGCTGGCAGGAGGATGTTTGCCGCGGTCTACGCAGCAGCTGCGGATCGCTAGGGTTCAACGCCGGTGAAGTCGTACAAGGTTTGCAAGGCTGCTGTGCACTCCATCAACTGGTGGTCATTACTTCGCCTCGTAGCCTTGTCGCTGTAGCCTTGTCGCTGTAGCCTTGTCTCTGAAGTAGAACGCCACACCGGACTTCCTAGAACGGTGAAGACGACGGTTCCGGCTATGTAGGCTGAGGTTGGGTGCGGTTGTCTTGGGTTCGCGTAACGTGGCGCGTCTTTTCTTAGGTCTTCGTGCAGACCCCGGAAACCCATCCCAAGGCCAAGCGTGCATCCTTCCCAGGTACCGACAATGTGACTCGGCGCTTGAAGCTGTCTTATCTTGCGATTCGGGGTTTGAAGTAGATAAGGTGCCTATTCTTGTATTCGGTCCACTACTGAGCAGGTGATGCGCTCGAAACTGAGGGCGATCGAGATTATAGAAGGTATCAGTAAGCGGACCGCTCATGTGACGAATACTATAGTGATGTCGATCAAGCACGGAGCGCTTGAAGCGTGCTGATGAATCAATAAGATAGAAGGTGGGCCAGAAGTCGTTCGCGGAGAGCGTTGTTGTGATGGGTCGCGAAAGCCGCCACCGCCAAAACCTTGAGAGGATGGGAGGGCCGCTCCTTGACCCAGCCTAGCGGATGATGTCAGCACCGCCTTCCAGCCGAGACCGCTCTCACCCACTCGTCTGAACGGCAGCTTCGTCAACAGTGACAACACCAGGCGATCCCGACGCAAGATGAGAAACCCGCCAGCACAGTGCATGCCCATTGCCCACTCCTTGCATTACTCAGGTCCAGAGTGCATTGATAATCCAGAGACGGTCACTGCGCGGATCTTCCACGGCATCCGCCGGCACGCATCTTCGTGCGCGACAGCGTTGATATACTCAATGCCCCCGACAGGCCTATCGATGCGACAGGGACAACCTCTACCTCGAAGACGGCGCAGCGATTCGGTTTCAGAGGCCAGCGTTTGAGTACCAGAATGAGCCATGAGCAACCGCGTTGGTGCCGCTCTTGAACATCACCATGCCATGAGCGCTTGCCTTTCTTCTGCTTGCGTGGCCTTGAGTTGGCAAGAATGTTTCAACCCACTATCTTTCCAGATCGACCTCCAGGATGAAGCGCACACTGCACTAGTGCCTGAAGGTGATCGGTCCGAGCGGCGCCTGCCGGCGATCCGGGCCCTTTTCGTCTAGTCGCCCCTATTTTGGGCCGATGTCTCATACGATGCAAATACTGAAACCGACATCTCTCACTCCGAACAGTTCACTGCCACACACAGGTGGCGGCACTCCTCCATCCGGGACGGCGCCACGTACTGTTCGACCCACTTCAAAAACAAGTGGGAAACAAGCACCACTTCACAAAGCTTGGTTGAGCTTGACAGCATCAATACTCGATGCTTGTTGGCCAAAAGCATGACGAAGCTCGTGGGTCAGACATGTGAAGTCTTGGGCTTGGGCGTCTGAGCGCGCGATCAACACAGCAACACCCAACTAACGTTTGATTGCGCTGGGTATGGGATCCCATAAGGGCCTATTGAGGATGCTTTCTTTTCTATAAGCCTACCGTGTCGAATTGTGTCCTTCGTTCAATTTCCTAGTACAAGTACCGATAACTTCTAATCTTTAATACTGTCCTTACCGCTGTCTTGGCCCGACATGAATGCCTCAGCAACGATCCGTGCTTCGTACATCCGCCAGGCGCGGATGAGCATGACCCCTCGCCCACATAGCATATCGGAGACGTTATCGATCGATCTTCAACCACGCCCCGCTTCAACCGAGAAGCTCCAATCCTTCGTCCATGTCGACCACATTGAACACCGCGAGAAATGCCACTCCGAGCGTACCTCACAGCCGACCTTTTTCGATGTCGAACGCAACGCCGATAACAGCCAAGCATACATCGACGACCGCTATCTCGACACCACTTCAGTTATGGAATGGGACAACAGCAGCTCTTTTAAAGTGCGGCTAAAATCCATGTTCACCGTCTTTCCTTACCGCGACCCTATCTACCTCGTAGCGATCATCTTCCTCATTGGATCTATCGACCTCGTCATCAACGCCACCTTCGATCTACTACCTCGCCTCAACCCCTCCACCGAGTTCGAAACGGAAGAGACTGTCGCCGTTCCTAGTACAATACTGATCGGATCGATCTTCTTCTTCGTCGCAGGCATCTTCGACACCTTCAGTGCTCTCAATGCAGACCGCGGTACGCTCGAAACGTCAAAGTTGGAGCCTGAGAAAGTCAGATACCGGCCAGCGCTCCTCGGCACACCGGAGTTCAAATGGATACCGTCATGGGAGAAGGTATGGGAGTTGTCGGCCACCAACTTGGCCTTCCAGGCTGGTCTCATCGTTCTCTTTGGGGGCATCATCTTTATGTTCGCTGGCATCGTCGACTTCCCCGGCGTCGTCCCAGAAGAAGACCCTCTCTTTGGTTACATCGTTTTCGGGCCGCAGGTGATACACGGCGCGCTGTTCTTGATCGCGAACGCCATGCTGGCGTTCTCCGAACAAGAGCGCTGGTACAAGCCCAGGTTCTTCCACTCGGATTGGCAGAGCGCCATTCTCAATGCGCTTGGTGGGCTCGGTTTCATGATGGCTGGTTTCTTTCTCTTCCAGGGTGGGGAGAATGAGGAACGGGGCAAGGTGCATGCAGCTATAGCGGCAATGGCGGGGAGCTGGGCTTTCTTGGTAGGCAGTGTGATCAGGTGGTATGTTGTTTTGGAGTTCTGGTAGTGCTTACGACGACGGTGTTACTGTGACTTTTGTATCGGGATGTACCTCAACTCGTCTAATTACGACCACATTCATTAGCGTTGTTCTTTCTTGTCACGTCAGCCTAGAAAAAGGTTAGACACCCTAGAGCCTACATCAGTGTTAGGTCACCTATTTTGCTTGGTTTTGTCTTAGTGTAGTCGGCAACCTTTTTAGTTCTCTTGTATAAGGTCTGGTGTTCAGCGCATATTAGATAGAGATCGCTCATTCATTTATCCACTTTGTGGTCCGTCCACATCACGGGATGTTTATCGCCTCCACCTTCTGGGTATATATGAACGCCGCTCCACACCCAGGGCCAGCTCCCAGTTTCGTAACGGCCAACTCCAACGCGCAAATACGTCAACCTCGCCCAAGTCGCACCAAGATAGCAGTCAACCATGGTTTATACGAAAACACGCAAGGTTCCGACGCTTGTGGAGCTGCGTGCAGATGGATACCAGTGATTTCCATCACCAAATGAAGATGGACCGCACGCTGACGAACATGCAGAGCCGCCAAGAAGATTAAACCACTTCAAAGTACCGTCGTTAATTTCACCTTTACTGCATGCCCCAAGGGACACGGCGCCCGACGTGTAAGACTAAGGGCGCAACTGCGAAAAGCTAAGGGTCGTCTGTATCACACCGCTGTTGAATGCTCCCGTCTAGAGACCCCACCAATACTACAGGCCGTGCAAGATCACCTACCGCGAGAGCTGCGTGACATGGTCTACGCTGAGCTGATGGATTTCGAGAACCCGTCGTTTGACATCTGGTTGGAGGGCAGTAGATACGTACTGAAGACGACCAACGAACCACGCTCTACATTTTTCCACCGGACCAACATGGCAGCTAGTGTCGTGGATCGAGGCCAAGATCCTTACTACATCGATCCATCCATCGTCGGCAAAGAGTCAGCTCTAGAGATCCCACAACTTCGTTACCGACGTGGCCAATTCAATATCCAACACGACGCGCTAATAAGCAGGGTTCTCAACCAAGATGCGTGGAAGCAAGATATCGTACCAAAACGCTGGCTCTCCACAATCAGCATCTACATGCCCGAGGACATTTACCAGGTTGAAGAGCGTAGAATTCTACTCCGTCAGCACTTCGACCTACTACAGCAACTCACCAATACCCGAGCACGTATCCAAGTGATCTTCCCTAGCAAAGAGATGTACTGGCATTCCCAAATTGGTCCTACGCGTAAAGGATATGAGTGTCTACTTCCCACCGACCCAACTATACGCCAAGCCATGTTAGCTACTACCGAACGACTATCAGTCTCGAATGTTGGGACCGAGATCGATGCCGCTGTTCATAACGAGAACGTTCATATCATCATGGAGGTCATATTCCCGAGCCTGACGGCCTTGAAGGCTCGAGGCCACCAGATTCACTTGGACGATAGGATTAGCGGGTGGACATGGACGGCGGGGGAGGGAAGCGCCACGTTCACCGATACGTGGACTAATCGCCGGCAGTTCCGTAAGGTATGTCGTCAACCTGAGTCTTGTATAAGAATGTATGGCACTAATCAGATTCAATAGGTGAAAGTCCGCGAGTATATGAGGCGATCTCCGCATCAGATGTACCCTTCAGGACGTAATCTGGATGCTGGGGAGAAGACGGAGATGAGGGCGGAGGGTTAGATGATGTGAACACGATACCAGGAAGGGCTATAATGCGTGTTGCATTTACTGTATATACACTGCTGAATCCTAATAAATGAATAATTCCTAAGACGACGTATGCCCCTGCTCAGATAGTGGCTTCACTTTTTGCCGGATGCAATACGAAGTGTAAGCGCTGCTTCGCCCAGGACGCGAAACTAGTAGCTTGGCCGGTTCAAATTACGTCAATCGCAAGGCTCGTTATCCGTTGAGCTCTCGGGTTGCACGTGGCGGTACTTCTCATTCGGGGGCACTCTTTTGCGTGTGGGTCGTATGAATTCGGGTGATATGATTGGGGTCTAGTTCTCAACCTTCGTTCGCATGGAAGATTGGAGTTTTTCAGCCAAAGTGAGTACCTAGGTAGAGAAATGTGAAAACACATTCAACTCTTAACGAGTCGCTCAATCTTTGTTGACGCGTTCTTTGGTGTACTGGCAACAGAGCCTTTCGAAATTGCCTCTTTGGGACTAGTTTTTCGGCTAGTTGAGTGTCGCAACCCATACCTGGGTCCTTTGGTGTTTTGCGTAACACCAAAACATATCACTCAATATATTACCCAGGTGTTCGCCATGTTCACAACCCATACCACTGGTGACCAACTCGGCTTCGTAGATGTCTTCGGACGCTGTTCGCTTGCCTCGACGGAGTATGCGCACTACCGTCTCCGAGCTTTCAGGTCAGTCAGGGCTTTCTGTCGTAACGTTGCGTAAATAACCTCAGCTAACGTCCAGGATGCCAGTCTACATGTCATTGCGGAGAGACTGAGAGCTGAGAAGGAAAGACTTGACTGTACGCTGCAAGAGCTGTACTCGTGGAAAGAAAAGCAGCTTTCGACTCTCGAGGGCATCGAGGAACGACTTCATCCAAATACTCGAAGCGGTCCAGCGTCCCTCGCAGATCCAGTCAGCAAGGACGGAGCTACGATGAAGCTTGGTTTGGCAGAGCGTCGTATCAATGCAGAGCTTCGGAAGCGTTCCGAGATCGAACCGAAGGAACTGTACATCCACCAGACGCTCGCAGATGTCCTCGGAGGGTACGCGAAGCTCGTACACCCTGGTCTCCTCGACAGAATGTTTGGATCGCTACCAGCAGGGAAGCTACCACGGGAGGTTAGGGACATGGTATACGACCATCTGCTCCCTAGGGAGAACACTTACACTATCAAGTTAGCAACAAACAACACTGGCTTCTCCATCCACAAAGGAGCATCGGACGGCACTATACCTACTCCACCAATCGGCTGTCCATACCCCATGATATCAACCACCCACCCACTAGCTGATGAGATCCTCGAAAGATTCCATTGGAGATCGACGTTCATCATTCAGAAGTACATCTGCACGTTGCAGCCGTTGTCTATTCACGATATTCTCGCAAAGCTTCCGTGGTGGTCGAACATCGATGCGGGTGTACTCCCCATAACCATCACCGGCCGCATCACCTTCGCCATGCGTTTTGACAATAGTTGGAGGATTGAGTCAGATATCGAGAAGACTATTGGAGATTTGAGAAAGATCTTGAACTCAGCCAGCCTCGGCGTAACTGTCTCACTTTCGATTTTTCCTGCTGATAGTAAGCGCGGCGCCGAGTTTCTTGATCGAGCAAAACCACTCTTGCTTGAGTTGCAGGAGAAGGGCCACGAGATTCGCATGATCGACTTGGCTTGTTGGACAAACATGCACAGATGCAAAGAGCCACCAACATGATGGCCGAGTGCTGCGTTTCTAGTAGTCTGGCTCGTATGCGTATAGGGTCCACACGCGACTGCCGTGGGACTCGTGGTGTGACGTGGGGAGAGACTGCAGGTGTGGGGTCTTGGCAGGCGGAAGAAGCCGAGGTTGTGGATGAAGTACGTCACGCCGGGCTTGCCGTGTTCACATCATCAATCAATCAATACGACAGCATGCTTGGCGGAACACAGCCTCTGAAATCTCATCTTGTGCAATTCTTTGAGCACTGCCAGCCAGACTGAGTAACTGCTTGCGTGCGTTTTCTGGTTCTCGCAGCCATGTCTCGCCCAAACATCAACGCGCCAATACCCTCATACGAAGAAGCTGTCGTCGCGCCTCCGCCCACCACAGTACCACAACCTCCTCCCGAGCCCGCCGCTGCCGAACAATCTGCTGTCGATCCAGAGCCAACACCCACCATCGTACCAGCATCGCCTCCGCCCGAGTTACCGCCCGCATACGCCACCGTCGACGAAAAGGCCACGACCTTCACCATCTACGGCACTTTCATCCACACGCCGAACGCGCCCGCCTACCAACTCTCCTCCCTCCTCGATGCGCGAATAAACAAACTGCGGATACGGAGGCTAAAAGCCGAAGAGATCACGTTCCTCCAATCCGGCGCACCGACCGTCGCCTTCGACAGCAGCAGCGTGCTATACGAAGCCCACGACCCGCCCTTCCTCATCAACGAGTATTACATCCAAGGCAAAGCAGGTAGCACACTACCCGGCGCTCTACAACTGCGCTTCGGACTGCGCCGGTGGCATGTCGTGCATATGCCCACGCAGGGCAGTCGGCCGAATGAGATTATGACTTGTGGGAAGCCAGGGGGGTTCACAAAGGCGCTTAAGCAAAGGAAGAACGAACTGGAACCTAGCCAGTGGAAAGACAGTGAGGGCCATGTCGTTGCGACGGAGGTGTTGAAGATGGGACCTGGAGGCAAGATGCCGACGATAGAGCTGAGGCACGATCTCGATCAGACATGTCGGGAGTTGATATTGGCGCTTTGGGTGGCTCGGCTGTGGGCGGCTTTTGGGGCTGGAAGCGGATATGCTCATTGAGGACATCATCACAGATCAACTAGTTCATGCGCATTTTAGAATCCGCTCCACGTCGAAGACGTGATTCGATCTGGAGCGAATTCTAAAATGCGCATGAACTAGTTGAACTTGGTGCACATCACGAGAAGAGACATCACAGCCAGGGCACACTACAACCACCGTCAAACCATCTTATCATTGACGCAACACCACCACCTCCTTCAAGGCAACACCCTACTCGCTACGAACAACCCTCTTGAATCCCTGCTGCGCAACCTGGTCCTGCGCCGCCGCAATCACCGCATCCGCATTCGGGTCCGTGAATCCACAACCAGTCTTTCCGTTCTGCTGGCTAGCCGCCTCAGCAGAGCACACGCCGTCGCCGGTCGCAGCGACCTGACTGCAGCAGGCGGAGCTGCAATCAGCATCCGACACGCATCCGCCGGTGATGAACTGCGAACCGTCGCCTGCACCGACGTTCTTGGCGCCGGCGTTGTTGGGCGTGACTTGCGCCATGGAGACGGCGGCCACTGGGGGAGGGGTTAGTATATCATTACTTTGAGTTTGTGCGAAGTTCGGAAAGAGGGATGGGGAAGCTTACAGGTGATAAGAGTAGCGATGGAGAAACGCATATTGCTGATTTTGGGTATCGAATAATGATCGGGAGGTAGATTATGTATAGTACGTTTGAACGAATGACACCAGGTCAGTTTTTGCAGTCACAGACGCAAAGAAAGAATGGAATAGAAGTGGGTTGTTTGTAGTGCGAAAGAGATGTTGCTTGATGGTCTCTCAACACGATGGGCAAGACAGCCTTCTTATGCTTTTCCTCAGGCACCCGCGATGTACACCCCGCAGTACGCTTCCAGTGCATCGTGTCATGCTCTCCGTGGCGCTGAGGCTGTCGCTGTGTGATCGCCTTGTCGCCTGCGAATTCAGGCGCCGGGTGTCGGAGGCGAGGTACCTATAATGAGTGCGGATATATCGTGCATGATTCATGCTGTTGGGTGACTTGCACCTGACTTGTACTATTGTGCGGTTTGCTGGTGACGCGTCCTGTGGTTGATGTGTTCTGGCCTATCAGCGGGGTCAATGCCGTGGCGGATGGGTCTTGTTCTGCTGTCGCAGGAGGCGTTTCAGAGTGGTTCACGTGATCGGAGGGTGTGCGGAGTGTGTCAGATGTGTCGGATGTCTTGGCGGGGAGTTTGATGTTTAGAGGTTGATATCACGAACATGTATTGATAGTCTCCCTCATCGTAATTGCCTACCACCATCTATACCGTCACAACGCAGGTTGGCGCAATGCTGTGCTGCATCAGTTGGAGAACTGTGCGCTCTCACCAACATCAATAACCTGGTGCCCAGGACTGGGCGGTACATCGCCTGACTCCCACACAGTCTGTTGCTCTCCAAGCCTGAAAACAATCTCGCCCCCCTCGGTCATGATGCCACCCGCGTCTTCATGCTCGAACCAATTCTTTCCCCAATCCTGTCCGTTAATGCTCACGCCCTGGACGTAGTACCCCTGCTTTCCATCTCCATCGTCCAATCCCTCGGCCCTGATCCTAAGCGTCTTGTCATGATTGACAGTAATGTTGATATCGGAGAACCAAGGACTTTCCAGGAGATATATAGGCGTAGTGACTATAGGATACAATCCAAGCATCTGCCATATGAGCCAGCAATTCAGGGCTCCAGCATCGCTGTTCCCGGGTATACCGTTGGTTGTGTTGAAGTAGAAGTCATTAGCAAGCTGTCGGCTTCGCTCGACGCTCTTCCATTGCTTGTTGAGGTAGTTGTATAGATACGGTGTTTCGAAGTCGGGTTCGTTTGCGACGTTGTTGATGGTGGTGATTCCAAGTCCGTTTACGCCGAGGTCTACGCCAGACGTGTTTGGTTGGAATACGTAGTCGAGGCGTTCTTCAAAGTGGGAAGGGCCTCCCATTAGCGTGATAACGCGCGAGATGTCGTGAGGAACGACAAAAGAATACTCTAACCTGCTGTTAGTGTGCAAGTAGAAGATAAATGAACGCGAGAAGCGACTCACCAAAAGCAGTACCTTCGTAGCTCTCATCCTCCCAGTTACAGTCGCCGCAGTCAGTAATATCGTACGTCTTGTGGAAAGTGCCGTTCGCGTATCGCGGCATAACGAAACCGGAAAAGTTACGACTCGCAGACTCAGGATCCCAGCTCATCTGCCAGCCTG